CTCCCCATTCCCCTCCCTCCCTTACAGTCCGTCACCCTCACTTACACTCCTCTCCCTTTGGATCGTGACGCAATAAATCGCCGGGTGTTTGGGTACTAGTGAGAAATGGACCCCGTTCCCCCCCTAAGGCTCGCCTATGGGAGGGGGTACCGCCCCGCATTTCGATACATTGGAGGAAAGTTACCCTTAGAACGAGTACTTTAGAGGAAGGGGAAAGGGGAGAGGGAGAGGAAATGATAATGATACGAAACCCGATGCGGAGTCTCTTAGGACATATTTCAATGCTTTTTTCCCCATTGGCTTACCCCGCATTCGTACATCGTACATACATACATGATACAGACGTACTCGTACATACCTTCCGCCGGGAAAAGGATTAATGGCATCACCGGTCCGGTGGGGAAGAACGCTTCTCTGGCTCTGGTTATTATTACATCCTTCTTCTGCTTCTCCAAGATACTTCCCTTCCATCATCATATCATATACCTCGGCTACGAACATGTCGGAGAGTCATACAGGGGAAAAGAAAAAATGTGATGCGGTTCTTTGGTACGTGCGATTTCCGGGTTTTTAGGTACGGAGATGACGCTGCATACGACGAATCACAGTTGGTGGTTCAAATGCGAGGTGACCGCAACCTCTTTTTTTAGACGGACGACGTCCAGAGAAGGTTTTCGATCACGACTAACGGCTGTTGGTGACCGTGTCTCAGTCGGAAAGACCTTCTCATTTGCGAAACTTGTTGACAGGGAGAAACAGAAGCTTAAATTTGCCGTTGCGGTGAGAAACCTGGGTGCAGGGTGTTTAAGATCAGCTCGGACGAGACAGGGGACACAACCCTTTTCTCTCCCCCCTTCCTTGTCACGATGTCCTGTGCGGGTGTGTGGTTGCCTTCCTCCCTTCCGAGCGTAGCCGCCAAAAACGCGGGCCACAGCGTGTTTTGGGAGGAACGACATCACGTTATTGCGTGAAACAATCTACGCGAGGTTAACCGTTTTGGAGGGTGCACTTTTTTTTTTTTTGACGCGCGCTGGGACAAGTGTCTGAGGTCTCGTTAGGTCGTTTTGTTTCGCGCACGGGGAAGGGCGGGTCAAAGAAAACACGCAAAGACCAGAGCACCGGAGGTTACTCGGTGTCGGATTTCGCTTCTACCACCCGTAGTTACCGGGTTAAAGGATGTGAACAACCTTTGACCTTTCTTTCCCAAACCGCTGATGATTTACGGCTCCGCCGACCGCAAGCGTCACAGACTCGGCTGTTGCGGTCGAGGCCGAAATACGAAATTACGGATTCGATTCTAAATCGCGAGATCAGACTTTCGCAGAATACTCTTTGGGGATAAGTACTATCTTGTATTATTACCCCACGAGCACCAAGTTTCTTTTAAAATCGGACCGAAGGGATGGACGAGGCACAGATCGCAGTACCAATACGATACGTACGTTTACCAATATAAGAGCAGGTTATTACAACTTCCAATTCGTTTTCCGCCCCGGCCGGTTCGCATTCTTGTTACGAGGATCCGGCCTTCCGAATTAATATGCGAAAATCGAGATGCCCCAAGGGAACGAGAAGCAGCAGCAGCAGCAGCGGATAGATACATCTCTGCTCCGACGGCCCCTTCTGATTTGGCTTCGAAACTACTAAGAGGCATCCCGCTCTTTTCGCGCGATGCTCAGCTCTTTCCCGCACACTGTAGCTGGTCCTTTTGCCACTCCGTTGGAGGGGCGGTGGTAGGGCACACGCGGGGGTCCGGTGGTGTCGTATCCGGGGGAGCAACAACTGAGGTAAGACCAGTAGCGAGTAGCGGGTCATAAAGGACGATTTGCGGCAATGTTCCTGATGATCGGGGAGTTCCGACGTTTCCTCCCTTGTCCATGGAAGACCAGGACATGAACCCCTTAGAAGGGACCTTAAGCAGAGCCTCCCTCCCACTCGCTTTCCCTCCAAGGAATGAACGGGCAACAAGCGAGCCAAGTACAGCATGGTACACTGCAAAAGCGCCAAGCTAGTCCTGAAGCGACGTAAAAGTAACAATGACCTCACGATGATGATGATGGTGATGATGGGAACGCGGGTCCGAGCTTGAGCGCGCGGCCGCATGAAATTTATCCCCGACCCAGCGCGCGCGGAGCGGTAAGGAGAAAGGGAAGGGAGGGGGTTTATAATAACTAATAATTACTCGTAAGGCTCATGGGAAAGATTAGAAGAGGGAACAGGAGGAAAAAGATGCGCAACAAAACAAGCTCACGGAGAAACAAAAAAGCAAAAAATATCACGAGTGTACCCGATGAGAACTAATCTTTTCGATCCGTAGGGATTGCAAAAAAACGCAGATCTCCCCTCCCCTCCCCGTCCCCCCCCCCCCCCCGGGAAAAAATAAAAGTTTATCTTACCTTGCCGTAACGTTGTTTTTTCCCCATTTTGAACAAAGCCCCTCACGTGACCTTGAATCTCGCACCAGGCACTGGCTCGCAGTGGTCCGCCGCGCAAATTCCGGAGAAAAAGAAAGGAAAACCCCACACAAGGGTTGCCTCCCACGTCCCCTTTGCGCAATGTCTCAAAACTCTCAGACCTGACCAAAATCCGAATCGAGAATTGTATCATACCGTAGCACTATACCGTACGGTACCGTACGCGCGCCGCCATAATAATTGCCAGGATTTTTCCCCAGGCACGCCAGGGGGGGCTCTGCAGTACTCGTACGGTACCGTAACTTACTGCACGCACGTACGAGTACTGCCGTACTGTACGGTATGCAGCGGAATACAAACTGGTACTCGTACGAGCAGAGTACTTGTACTGTACGAACCGTTCGGGAAACACAGCAGAGTAAAAAAAATTGTTGACTTTTGAATCTCGTGCTACATACCGTACCAGTTACCATCACGCGGTACTATATTTTACCGAGTAGCCAGCAGACTGATATTTCCCAATTCTCTTTCCAACCTTTCTTCCGCAAGCGCCGGTGTATCAAGAAGAGTTCTGGTCCGGTGGGTGAATTACAAGTACAAGTACGGTATCTGCGGTTTTGGTCTGGGACCATATCCGCAGGAAGCAGAATTATTAGGCTATTCGCTCACAGTAGACCCTCAGCGAGCGGGGCTTGGCGATGTTTGGCAATGAAGGAGGCTGCCTGTGGTCGACGGCACGGTAGTATTATAGAAAGCCAAGCCGTGCCGTGCCGTGCCTTGCTCAGGGCTCACATGGTCTAGCAGAATACCGTTTGCGTCGTGAAGTTCACGGTTACGCTGTTCGTGACCACGAGTACTTTTTGCTGGCGGAGGGGGAGAGGGGGGGGGGGGGGACCAAGGAATGATAACTTACAAAGTGCGCTGGACGCGCGATGTGAAACTATGCTACGGTAGCCGCTAGTCACTATCAAAATCTTTTTTGGGTTCCTGCTGATGTAAGTTCCCCCCCCCCCCCCTCCTGTGCGTGGTGTTTCGAATGCTGTGTGGTATAATACGGTACTCGAGTAATGAACGTTATTATTACGATATAGTAGAGATGCGATGGGAGCATCTTATTCCTACACTCTTAATAGAGTTATGAAAGAGGGGGGAAAAAAAAAACCGAGGAGAAAAAGGAGAAAGCCCACCCCGTTCACATAGGTGTTTGGAGTGATTTAGAATGCGACGGGCCGACGGACATAAACGCTGAGGTTCATGGCGATGGTCCGATCTCGTACAGTGCGGTGCTGTACGGTGCGGTACAGTACTGCGCTTGCAATTGGAAAGTTCCAAATACCTGATACGCTACTTACTTACTTACTGTGTCGTACCGCTGAGTACCGTATGATACTCGAGTACTGTATGTACCATTCGGCGTGACCACAGTGCGCTGCGTCCATCGTCGGATCAATGCCGGTGGGTTGATTACGGTAATAGCTTGTGCCCTATGTATATGAGTTAATGACTGCATTGCAGCGCGGGCGAATGAGTAATCGGGGAACCGAATGCATGATGGAATTGTGCATGGGATTGTGGGTTGGCGTGCCATATTGGGATATCGTATCATGTCATTGGGAAGGCGATGATGCGGGAGTAGGTAGGTAGGTAAGTATAGGGTTGAGGTTGTTCGCGGTGGTGATGACGAATCGGTCGGTGCGGGGGTGGTGGAGGTTGGGAATTGGTGAGGTGGGATATCGGCGTCCTGGGCTTCGTGGGCGGGAAAAGTTTTGATGGTGGCGGTGGCTTGTGCAGATTTAGGGTTGTTGGGGCTTTTCTTTTTTGACAGTATCATAACCCTCATCATCCGGTATCATAACTTACTTGTAGCCTATGATACCGGTATCGTACCGTTGTCCAAAGTTCTCTTCGGACTAACCAATCCACTCTCAGGTCCGCCGAGCACGCACGGACAACCTAGAGCATGAATGGGAGGTTTGGGTTGAGAAATTGGCAGCAGAAAATGCATGCATGCATGCACCAACCCACGCACCACGCCTCTCTCTGTCTCCGCCTCTCTGTCTCCCAACCACTGCGCCCCCCTTCTTTACCCCCTCCATCCTCCTCTCCTGCTACAACACGTCGTGAGCTTGACGATTTTGGGGATGGGGTGTATGTGCTGGACTTTGTCCTTATTGCAACTCCCATATTCAAAACTTCTCGTTGTGCAGAGCACGGTACTCTACAGTACTTTGCACTTGTAGCTTTTTCGGGTCAAGTTAGAGTAATGACTTGGTGCGTTGTCAAGCCCGTTGAGGGAGGACAACATGGTTAGGGCCCCGCCGGTATCGTATCAAGGTATCCTTCGGGGGGGGCTTCACGATAACTAGCTACCGTAGTTGGATATAGAGTGCTATTTGGACTAATTGGCGGAGTATTTGTGACAAATTTCGAGTGCTCGCAAAAAAAACCTGTAAGGTACCCGTGGCCGGCAGACCAAACTGCAAACTTCCAGTCACGAACTGACTGATTTTGCTCGTGGGATACCGATATTCGGGAGGGTTAGTCACGAAGGGAAGAAGCGGATGGAAGGGAAAAAGAAAAGAAAAAGATACTTAAACGCCCGCAATACAGTACACCGCTAGAGAATTGATTGGGCGGTTTTGAGGCAACCCCTTCTTTTCTTTTCTCTTCTTTCCCTTCTCCTTCCATTCACTTTCTTTGCTTCTTCCAATAATTGTCGCCGTCGGAAAGTACGAAACCCAATTCGTCCTCTCGGGAAGACACGGGGGTGGTGGTGGTGGGGGGGAAGACATCATCATCACGCTACTCTTTTTTTTCTTTCTTCTATTTTCTGTTACGGGAGTAAAAAAATTCTCGCCATTGACGAACGATAATGGAATGCACCGATTTGATATAGAGCTGACTATCGAACGTCGGTATGACACTGTGTGTTACCTCGGGGGGGGGGGAGGGGAATAGAAACCAGCCGATCGACTGACGATTTGTGGCGAGAGCCCATTTCCTCGCTGTCGCATGTCATACTTCCTCCGGGTGCTTTAGGTTTCGTGGAATCCTTACGTAACTTTGCCTTGGGGAATTTCATGTTCCTTTTTGACTGGATACCAGTGTTGGAGGTACTTGTACCCTTTTCGGATTATTGGTATGATATTGCCTTCCTTCCCTTTCCTTTTCCTTCATCTTCTGCCTTGCCCCTCCCCCCCCAACAAAAACCCCACAGGCTACGATTTTTTCTCTGGGGCACAGTACCGGTAAGTTGGGGAGGAAGTGAGGTGGAGGTCTGTACGGTGCCCTCAGCGTGACCGAGCAAAGGTGGGAATGAGTCGCACCGCCACATATCACTTCAGTCATCTGACGCCCACTCGTCCGTGCTCGCTCACAACACCCCGCGTTACCGGTATACTTCCGGCCTGCAGTGGTTGTCGCACACAATGCGGAGCGTGAATCCCGGGAATAAATTTATTAATGTCATGTATCTGGAATGAGTACAGTACGGTACTCGAGTACGGTCCTCGAGTCGTACGCACCCTATTTCCGATGGGTTAATGGAGAGTTTGGAAAAACGAAGGACGGGGAGAAAAAAGGAAAGAAAGGAAATGCTTCATGCTTGCTTTTTTGTATACCGGGGGTTGGAGCAGAGTTACGATACGGTATGTGGAAACGAAAGAAGCGCAATTGGCAAACCAGGGGGGATGCGCAGCGGAGAAACGGTCAACATCCACACACGCACCCACACAAAAGAAAAAGGTTCCAAGATTTGAGTTCGAACTAGACAAATCCCGGGAGATTTCACGATCCTTCCCTTTTTTCTTCCGCCTCGGATTGTAAATTTGTGAGGAAAGTGTTTCCTTAACGTTAGAACCACTGTACGGCACCACGACACGGGATCTAATACGGTCAGGATCCTGCAGCGGGGGAACGGGAGGATAGTTTGTTTCTAGTTCCAAGTCACGATGCAAGGAAAAAAAAAAAGTCCATGATATGATAGGATATTCCTAAATTGCCTGCACTCGCTTTCTTCCCTCCTCATCTCTTCCCCTCCCATCCCTCTTTTCTCTTGTTTGGGAAAGTTTCCCTTTTTGATTCATAAAACCGCCGGCTTGCTCGCCCCATCCCTACATGCGTGCCGTATTGTTCCAGCGCAAATCGTACCTTTCCTATTCCCATTCCCATTCCCATTCCCCCCTTCCGTTTCCGTTTTCCATGCCGCCCATACTTGTAGGAGTGCGCCTAACCCTATATCTCACCCCCTCCGCCTCCACTGCCCCCCCCCTTTGTTTCCCCTTTTGATGGTTTGGTGGAGATTCAAATTTCCATGTCGACCGTTTGTAGATTATCATCTTTATTCTATAGCGGAACACTCACAAGGTACCTATTCCCCCCTCTCCTCGTTCGCCATCCCCACACCACACCTACTTCGATCCAGTGCTTACTCGAATACTGTACTCGTACACACACGAATGTCGGTAGGTAGTCCGGCATCCAGGGGGGAGGGAATGGACGATCTAGATTGAAATGGAATGAATTGAGTTGAACTCTGGGATGGGATACCGGTACTGTATCAGTTTGGCTGGCGCGGCTATGACCCGGGGTTCCTACTTTTTCTTCTCTTCATCCTCGACTGTGTGTCTAGGTCTCGGGTACAGCAGGGTACATCCTTCCTTCCCTTCTGCTTTCCCTCGTGGTTGTTTCCTTGCATTTGGGGCTTCCTGCCATACAATTGTGGGGTTGAAGAGAGGGAGAGGACTCCTCAATTAGACTACAGCACAGACGGAATGCAACAGCAAAGAAAACGGAGGGACCTTTTTTTTCTTCTTCCTTGCTGAGATGAGCCGGATGGCCCAATTACAATCCCGACCTTCATTAGACTATCGATACCGACACAACACGCAGGATGGTTGAGAACGAATGAGGCGGCGTTGGAGTTTTTCTCTTTTCTATTGGGAAAAAACAAAAAATAGGCAAGCACAATTCGCCTCATCCCTCCCATCAGTTTTTTTCGCCATCTCTCTCTCCTACCACCGTATGGGATTACCGGTGCCGGAGAAGCACAGTCGGGCTGTGCTTAGCTGTTCCACCGCCTCTTTCTCTCTCAAACTTTTTGTTATTATTTACTTTTTGACCATTTCCTTTTGCCGTGGCTCTTCTGGCCGGACATGCATACGACAGACCGATAGCCACTCAGTCAGGCAGCCAACCAATTCAACTGGTCCAGCTACGGTACCGTACTCGTAACTGACCTTTAATAACCGACCAGGCTCTACATTTACGGTGCCCATTCTATTCGGCGGGTGATCCCGCTTGCCGACCAGTTGAGTGGGGGGAAGGCTGAATGTTTAGTTCCTTGCCGCGAAAAAGCAAACCGGGCAGGGGTGGGATACCGTATGATACCGAAATTGGCGATGGGTGTGAAGGAGGGAATGAAAATGACGATGAAGAAGAGAACAGGTCAGGCCGAGAGGGAGCCGATGGGGTCAACCAAAAAAATGAAGGGACCGAACTAAAAAAAATAAAAATAAAAAAACCTCATGCAGGGACCCCTCTAGAACTTTCCGGTGGGCCGGGTGGAAAGGGGGGAAGGAGGAAAAAAAGTACGCTCGCCATCCAAACGTTACCTGAATTAACTGAACTGAAATGAGCTACCGTGCTGCATTACAAATATAAGAACGCGCTCCCGAAAAAGAATCAGGGCCCAAAAAAAAAAAAGACTGACTACAGAACTCTTTCTCACAGCGATCTCACTTGCATTCTACGGTATGCACCCCACATATTACTGGAAGATGGCATGAACAAGGAATTGAAGTCTCTTGAAGGGCAGGGCGGAGGATCATTAATCCTTGTTTAAAGAGGAAGAAAGGGAGAGATGCAGATTACGATAAGATGAACCTATTGGAAAAATTTCTTCTATCATATCTCAAGCCTGTCATGTCATGTGTGAACATCATACCGTGCAACGATAAGAATAAATAAACCCCACGCAAGAAATCCCGTGCACTTCAAGGAGAAGGGAGGAGATTCTAATCAAGTCTTTTTTTGTTTTTTTTGAAGGCATGGATGGAGAAGATAAGAAATAGAAAAGAAAAGAAAAACTGTTTCAATATAAACGTCGCTCGCTGGATGGATAGAAACCCGAACAAAGCACAAGTCTGAATACCCCGTTTTTCCACCCCCAAAAAGCAATGAAGGGAACACGAAAATCTCTCGACTCCAGAAGATATGATAAAGGTTAAAAAAAAAAGAATCAATAAGTACCGTACGGCAACTAACCCTGCCGATGATGAGCGAGTCCCCTTTGGAATATTCCCATGGCATACCGGTAACCATGCGATAAAAGGAAGGAAGCGGGCGGAACAACAGCAACAAAAGGAAAAAATGGAGGAATTAAACCGCGCAAAAAATAATGGGAAATATAACAGGAGGTAATGAGATTAGATGAAAGAGAATGGGGAAATATGGATATGCGCTTAAGGTACGACTGAGTGTATCGACACGTCACGATAGTTTAAGGTTCCTGTGCCTGAAGAAAGAAAGGTCGTGATCAAATCAAATCAAACCCCATCCCCTTCGGTCCATTACCCGGAAGTTCCGGCACCACTCCCGTCATAATAATCCTCGGCTTGACCGTCAGAGTACGCAATGGCACTACCAGAATCGCTGCTGCCGACCATCTCAGGCGGGGTGGTCCAGCCGTTGGCGCTGCTGCCCTCGCTCTTGAAGCAGTACAGTCTGGCTTCACCATCCTCCCCTCCGGTAACCATCTTGGAGTCGCTCAGACCGACGCATGTCACGGGGCCAGAGTGGCCGGTGATGGTGCGCTGACAGCGGCCTGTGCGGACGTCCCAGACCTTCACCATTCGATCCTGCGCACCCGATATTACTCGGAGGGAGTCTGCAGCCAGGGCCCACACACCTTCGACGTGGCCGAACAGCGTCTTGGTGCATTTACCCGTGGCAACGTCCCAGAACTTGACTTGGGAGTCGAGCGCGGCTGTGATCATCTGCTTTGGTGGAGGCGCGCGAGCACGGGATCGGTTGGGCGAATCCGAGGCGTTTGCTTCTCGGTACTCTTCCAATGGATGAGTGGGGTGGTGGTGCGATGGGGGGATCTGGGGTTTTATCGGAGGGGAGGAAAGTGAGGAGGAGGAACCTTCTCCGCTCGCTGCTGCTCCTCTCGGGGATTGATGGTTTAGAAGTTGTAGAGGTATCACCTGCTGGACGTGGCCAACATGCCCCTCGAATACCCGTATGCATGCTTTTGTGTCGAGATCCCACATTCTCACTGTCTGGTCGTCTGAGGCGGAGAAAATCGTCCTGGAACTGGAGTCCAATCGCACCGAATTGACCCAGTCTGTATGCCCTTTCAGCGCGAAGCAGCTCTTGTCAGCAAAATTCCATATCTTGATGGTCTGGTCGATGGAACCGGACGCAAGCAGATTCTCATTAAAGTGAACGCATATCACGCCGTCCGTGTGACCCCGCAAGGTTGATATGCATTCACCTGTTCGCCAATTCCATATCTTCAGGGATTTATCGAGGGAGCCCGAAATAAGTTTTTGATCGTCGAACATTAGCGCGCGGACAGCCAGGTCGTGTCCTACGAGGGTTCGGATCTCTTGCCCACTCTCGATGTCCCAGATCTTTATGGTGCGATCGTAGGAGCCAGTCGCGAGCATGTTATCGTCAAATTGCAGACACATTATTCCGTCTGAATGGCCCTGGAAGACCTTCTTGGTGCACCTTCCCCGACGCCAGTTCGATTCCACCTTATATCGTTCTGAGTAGACATCTTTCCAAGGACGGGTTTTTGACGGGGGAGGCACGGCTTCGGATTCGGGGCGGTGACAAGGCCGCTTCGCCGATGAGCTCGGCGTCATCTCAACATCCTCGGAACCGTTGTCCGTTGAGCGCTTCCCGTGAATATTGAGCAACCTTGTTCCGGCAGTGATGCTAGCCGTAAAAATCAGGCCGGGCTCCTTCGCTCTCAATTCCATTTGCCTTTTCGTCGCTCTTAATCTCTTCCTCTCTAGTAAAGGTAGTCCCCACCCGCACTTGTCACACTTCCTATCAATATGCTGTTCGCACATCTTATGCCATACGACGTCATCATCTGCTAGCGTTCTCCATCGATGACTGACTTGCGCGGCTTTGCATAAAGATGCAGTATCCAAATAACATAGAATTTTGAATGCGATTTCGGGAGGAAGTGCGGTTAAGAAGTCGATGCGGATCAATGTGCTAAGGGCAGCAGAAATGAATGAAAGTTGAGGAAAGCAGCATTGTGCCAGGATTCCTTGTAGCATCATATTCCTATGGGTTGCTGGTGCAGCAGAGAATAGCGACCAAACGTGCGAGATTGCTTGCTGGTCCGCAGCGGGTAGTGTTTCCATTTGCTTTTGAAGCAATTAGCCAAATGTCCCTTCACTCTCAGGTCCGAAAAGGGCCCTTGATATTCTCTCACACCCCCTCGGATTTGTAATCAGACCTTTTGCAGCTGTTCCATAGTAGGCTCGTCCGCCCGCCGCCTACATTTGATATCGGGCCTATGCCGATAACAATACTTTGTGTTGCCCTTCTCGGATTCATCTTGCTGTGTATCCTGCTGACCACGCGGTCCTTGAGGCGCGTATTGTTCCGGGATGTGCTTCGACAAAAAAGGAGCGACGCCCTTTCCGACGTTCTCGGTTGTATCCGCTGGTATAGCAGGGACAAAAAGCTCTGGCTCGCTCCCCTCCATCTCCTCGGTGCAAGTATTGGAGTTGAAAATGGAGGAAATTTTTCGTTTTTTAAAGGGACTGGGAGCGCTGGCGGGCTCGCAAGTGTTTTTCAGGGACGGGGGTGGAACGGCAGATGGCGGTGTGGGGGCTCGCGTGAGAGCTGAGGAAGGTCGTGGCGGTGGTGGTTTTGGAGGTGCGGTCGAGGATGCCGTGAGCACCGTCATTTTTGTCAAGCTGGGCTGTGGCGTCCAACCAGGGTTGTGCTACGGTATGAGATCTCTGGGAAGGAGTGGGTGTGGTTGGTTCTCGGCGACACTTTTTTGGTGGGGTGGCAGAGAAAGCAAGATGTGATAAAGACGACCACTATCCCGCCCTGTCAACAACGTGTTGCAGGGGAAGAGAAGAGAGAAGAGAGAAGAGCAGATGTCGTTTTTGTCGGAGAATGGAGATGAAGGGAGACGATATCTGGAGAGAAGAATTATCGCCCTGTAATACCGTGCATTTACTTCAGAAGGCCTGAGTCGTGGACCGGCGATGAGTTTTTAACGAAGGGGAGTCCAGCTTGGCTGGGTTAGGTTTTCTCTTTAAGGCTGGGAGCGTTACCTTGAAGGTTCTCATCATTTTGACCGCGATTGCACCATCCGCTACGGGAGCTTCTCTTCTGGACGAAACGCCCATCTTGACACCTCCGAACAGGAAAGATACCGCACAGTGCAACATTCTCGGAACTCTGGGGGGATCCGATAAACAAGGCGGGTTGGACCCCACGGCGGAAAATTTAAAACAAGAAAGCCCGTACAATTTACCGTGTCCCGTCTCTCTTTCCACCCCGTTCTTTTATCCTGGAGTCTATCCCCCGTCAGGACCTTTATACCCACTACCCGTATTTCGATTTTGTTTCTCCTTCTCTATACAAGGGCCATTACAGCCTCAATACAATTAATTTAGCTAGCTAAGCTTCACTCGAAAGCTGTTTCAAATTGTACAGTACACGAATGGTTCTGTCTTAGCTCTCCTGAAGCTATTGTCTGCAAGCACCCACGAGAGATCCTGAAGGAGCTCCATAGTGAAAGGGAAAGACAGGGTTACGCGGACGATACAGGACAAACGAACCCCTCATCTCTCCTCGGTTGTAAGGTACTCGGCTTCTCATAATCAACCATCATGTCGCCATCCCCACCGCCGCCTCCGTCATTGCCCGTTTCTGCCTCTCAGGCAGCGTCCGGAGCCGCAGCAGCTTCCCCTCAGTCCGTGGATCTGACAAACTGGTTCCTCGATGCCAAACGTTCTTTAGCCTCCGTAGCTTTGTGTGCTCGTGCAAACTCCTTGGTAGATTCCGCAAGAGGGGCCTTGCAGGAAGCAGCTATTATCTCTTCAAAATGTCTCTTCTTACGAAACGCTCTGCAGGACCAGCTCCTGGTTGCTATCAGGGTGAACAGGATGATGCACTCGGTTCGGGAGGCTTCCAAGAGCGATTTCGAGGTTTGTCTAATCTCGTTTTCCTTTCTCTTTTTTTTCTCCTCTCCCCTTGACTACTTGCCATTTCCGGGGGGGGGGGGGGGGTGGTTCGCTCTCGATCAGTTGTCCAGAAGATTTCATATTGTTATTATTATCCCTTTTCTTCGATTGCGGGAGTTGGGTGGGGGTTATGGGCTTCTTGGGCTGGGGAATGATGGTTTGTACGGCCGTTGCTCATTTTCGAGACAGATGACGAGAGAGCGTTTATTCTATTTTTCCCTTTAAATCTTAGATCGGGTGTCACGAGGCTGACTCAGACCGTAATAACTGAATAGAAGATTGTTGCGGACTTGGATAATGCCGATGCTAGGCTCAATCAAACCTTGGGGGTGCTCCGGAAGTCAGTGGTTGATCCTGCGTTCAATCCTCCAAGTAATCCGGAAGGCGAAGAATCTACCCCAACGTCAACGAAACATCGGACATTGCATGATTTTGTCGACGATGAGGGGATTGAGAACCTTAAGTCAAGATTGCGGCATTTGATCGATCAAGTGCAGGTAAGTGGATGCACAAATCTCCAAATTTTATAGGGTGCACAAAGATGCATCCAATCACCCTTCCCCCCAATCATGCAATTTCCACCCCCTTCGACATCATTGGCTTACCAAAACGGGCACTCCCCGTCTAGGAATCCCACGACGCGCTTTTGACGTCTTTAACCGAATTCGATGGGGATATCTCGGAGCTCGATACGGCGATCAATAACCTTACAGAGTTCGCATCCAATAATGCGCAGGGCGGGCGAATCACCAGCGAGTCCATAATGCCCCAGATACATGCCCTAGAAGATCAGGCAAAGGCAATGGCAGGGTTGCTTGAAGCCTTGACCCAACATTACGATCGTTGCTGCGCGGCACTAAAGCAATCTGAGCCCACTACAAATCGCAATCAGGAGGGTGGGATGATGGGTATGGCAGAGAGTATGTCCCCAGAAGAGAAGCAGGAGATGTATAGGGTCCTTGAGAAGGACGCATTGGAAGTGGACGATGTCGTCACCGAATTGAAAGAGAGATATAATGATATGGAAAACATTCAATCACACATCCTGGGACAGCTCGAAGAATTGAATATGTTGCGCCATAATACCTATGCTACCTTTGCGCTTTTTGAGCAGTTCCAGACAAATCTGGGCTCGTTTGTGGAACGCATGCGGGAATTTGAGACACAGCAGGATGGGTATGCAAGGGGTATGGAGGATAGACTGGATGAACTTTGGCAGTTGGGCGAATTCTACGAAGGGTTCATAAGCGCCTACGATGCTATGGTAATAGAGGTTGGCAGAAGGAAAGGCGTTTCTGTCCGAATGGAGGCTATCATTCGGGATACGATGAAGAGGCTACAGGTGCTCTACGATGGTAAATTTCCCCTTTTGGCCCGCGTTAGGAACCTGCATATTATATCTTTTACCATTATTTTTTTTCTTTTTCTTTTTCATCACTAGCCACACACCCTCCTGTGCCCAGTATATGTTTTGGATCTGATCAGCCTGAGAGTTCCCTTTTTTTTTCCTTCATATCCCGAATCCCAAGGTTTTGCGTGGAACTAACGGCAGTTTTCTCATGTCTTACAGATGATCTGGCAGATAGAGAGGCTTTCAAGGAGGAGCAGGGCCACCTCTTGCCGGTCGACATTTGGCCCGGTGTCATGGATCTACCTATCCGTTATTCGGTAGCCAAGGATACTAACGGGGCAAATGAGTTGCCGGGGATTAGCAAGGAGGTTGTTGGGAAGGCTCTGGCGCGGCAGCAACAGCAGGGCAAGGGCGGGATGTGAAAAGGGTATATCTAGCTCCAGCGAAGACGAGGGAGGGACCGCGTGCATAGGAGTAGGAGGACGAGGGGGAGCGGGGGAGAGAGGGGACCAAATATGCTGCAAGGTGAGATATGATACAAGGATTCCGGCAATACAGGTATGCAGATAAGATTCGAAATCTGCTCCAATCTTGCGCATAACTATCGTAGGCCGCTTTGGTGTGTGTTGTGCAATGAACGATTTACCGGTATCATATTCCTTTGAACCCTTGCAAAAGAGAATGTCCACTCCTTTCTTTTTTGGCCTTTTTTCTTTTTTCGCTTTCGTTATTTACATTTCAGAGGCCGTCCTTTAACTTGAGCTGGCTCCTCTCGCTTTCGGATATATCATTTCTCCGAATCGCCCCCCTCTATTTTTTTTTTAATTTTTTGATTTTTTACTTTCAATCTTTTCCCCTTTTTGACAAGGCATTTAAATCTGCCCATGCCCGCCCCCCCTCGGCAGAGCTGGCTAATGGGCGTTTCTGTCACTGTTTTGTTTCGATTCGTTACGGCCTTTTCTTTTTTCTCTGTTCTCTGTTTGCTTCCATCATCTGGTTCTCGGGGTGTTGAGGGGTTTATCTAACCATTCATTCATCTATCCATACAAGGGGTGGTGAATCCTGGCCCTATCTGTACGAGTATGAGTATCATTCCAATACTACAGCATCAATCTATGGTACGATATCTATCTACCTTATGGCACACCGTATGATAGCCGAGCACATCACCCCGCATACCACCTCCCCTATTCCCCTCTACTCGAGTATCCTTCTGGTGCCAGCCCACGGTCATCACACAGCCACCTCATTCAGTATCGAATACGGATGGGCAATAGGCTGATCTACGTACCGTATGCACAATACCCTCTCCCTCACCCATCCGGGGCCCGCCCCCGTTTCTTCTCCACTCGTCACTTGCCAGCCCGTTTCGAAAATGGGCGTGCGGTTCGATGATCATTGCCGCTTCCGTTATATTTGGATATATAAAACGGGAATTCCAATAACCAGACGAACAAAATAAATTATCTACCCCCCCCGTCCGGAATTGACATTACCGTTGCTACCATTGCTACCCCTACGGCACAGTTACTATACGAGTACCGCTCCCGTGATTTTCTCCCACAATATATAGTATGATAGCACAGCGCAAGTAAAGTTTCACCATTTATCCCCCGGAATGTTTCCGTTCCGGCACGATAATGTTACGGAATCAATTCCCATTCCCCCCCTCCGCACGTGCACGATACCACTACTCGAGCATATACGTACCGTTGTTTTTTGGAGCTCCGTTTCCGTAGCGGTCATGATGTACCGGTAGACCAAACGCAGGCTACATGTGCACGGTGCTCCTGGGGGGGGGGAACTCGACCGGTTCCCACTCTCTGCAGTATCATGGTTCCTCTGCGACATGCTGGTACCCTTCTGTACTGGTCCAGTGCCGTATCATGCTCTACCGGTACCCGTGCATTAGGTACCGCACATACTACATACATACATACATACATACGGCACAGCACTGAGACCGCACGAGAAGACATTTATCATAATGTCATCGTCGTCATTACCTTCGATACCGTGTGTACGTATCGTACTCGAGTCCGGCACCGGTATCAGACAGTACCGGGGCAGGCATACTCTGATGAACTTTTTTTCTTTTTTACCCCTCGCCAGACGGATGGATCTACATGACCAGATAAGCAGCGTTCCATCCCATCCATAAACACTTTCTCGCTCCTTATCGGGCATGTTTACACAGTGCGACGTTACCTATCACTTTTTTCCTTCCGGGGAGGGGTTTCCCCTGAAATTACCGCTCGGTCTATTATGTACGGTGCGGTACCGCACTGTACTCGTACTTTTGGTAGTGTATTGCGACATTGTCTCGAAGTGTTTTTGTTTTTTTACTCCAGTTCTTTTCTCTCTTCTCGTGGTACCGGCATGCGGGAGGGAGGTAAGGAAGGGTGAATCATGGCTTGCGGTATCCGACTATCATCATGGTATCCGTGTTTTTTCGTTGGTTCGTATCGCATCCTCCACCGGGGAGGAAGGGGGGGGGGGGGTGTGTGATAAGGTAAGGTAAGGAAGGGTGCATTCGTACAGTATTCTGATATCATATCCTTCTTTCTTTCCTTTCTTCCTGTCACGGCCACCGCGCCGTACTGTACCTTTCATTGCATCATAGGGTGGTAAAAGGGAGGAAGGAAGGAGGCCGAGTATCATACCGGTACCGTACCTACCGACCCATGTTACACTCCCGTACCGTTACCGTAAGACAGACTTACCGTACGGCACTTGGCGCACTGCATGTACTTGTACCAGTACAGTACTCGCCAGATTGCGTCAAGTTACCTGTACGAGTACAAGATGATAGATCTCATTCAAGTACCGTGCTTGTACAAGTACCGCGAGTAGGGTACTTGAACCGGCGGATGCATGGATGAATGAATGGACCGATGGTATCTATCTATCTATCTACTGACTCCCTTTCCACCCAAGAAAAGACTGACTTACTGATGACTGCGTCGGAGATTGAAAATGTGCGAGCGAGCTGCGTTGGCTGGCTATTGGCCGGTCGGTCGGTCGGTCGGTTGGTTGGTTGGTGTGATATTATGATATTTTGATCCCCCTGTCACATCTCATACCGTGCCAGCACGGATAAATTGGATTCTATCATATTCCTTCCATATCGTACGGTACGGTAGTAGGGTGGAAGAAAGCTGTCTGATAACCCGGACAGGACAGGACAGGACAGCCCAGGCAGGTAGGCAGGCAGGTAGGCAGGCAGGTAGGCAGGCGTGCAGGCGGGCAGGCAAGGAAGAAGAGCGGCTGAAGGTAGGAAGAAAAGAAAAAAGACTTGAAGTGAAAAGTGTAAAAATAAAAAAAGGGTTTATGATGATATTTACATTTTACTGGATGGGGAAAGTTTATGTTGGGGGGGGGGGAGTTGTTTACTTTTACTTTTACTTTTTCTTCTTTCTCTCTCTCTCACCATTTTGATATTCATTCGATACGACATGAGGCTCGTTCCCTCATTTGTTCCTGGCGTCACATGTTGATCAGTGCATAATCACACAATATCGTGCCACTGGTAGGTTACGATATTAGCGCCGTACGAGTAGAAAAAAGGGTTCCACGACGGGTATACCATTACCGGTGTTTGTACTCGACTCGACTCGACCTCCGTACCCGTAAAAAGGGGCGTTTTTTTTAAATTTTTTACCCACGGAGGTTTCAGAGATAGACTACGAGTACTCGAGTATATCATAGATTGATAGATAGATATCGGCAAGTGGCGATGATCACTTTTTTATTTTTATTTTTTACCCTTATCCTTTCCAAACATGGATAGACCGAACCACCGAAACCCGTGCTGGAACGGGTACCATACGGTACGGTACGAGTAAGGGAGCAGGGAGATACGGTAGGCACCCTATATACCGGTTAATATAGTTCACTTGCTTTTCTTTTCTTTTCTTTTCGCCTTTTTCCCCCCCCCCCTCCCCTCACCCCCATCCATCCATCCATCCATCCATCCACCTCACTCACTCACTCACTCACTGTTCTATCCTTTCACCTTCGATGAGGTAGTCGTGCATATTCGCAGAGTATGGTATGGTATGGTATGGTGTCAAAAGCTGGGATGAATATACCGACTCATTTTACTTTTTTTTTTGTGTGAAGAATGGAGTGGAGGGATTGTTCGCCTTGGTCGTACAGTACGGGTACAGTACGAGCACACTTCCTGAGTATCCGAGTTACTGGTATAAGTTAGGTATATCTATAGCTATGATATGAAACTATTCGTATGATAGACATAAAGTGTAGTGTAATCGCGCCTTCCTTCCCCTACTCGTACAGTACCAACCGGCCAATCCATCTTTTCCCCCACAAGTCGTAATTGTGTAGCTAGACTGCCACAAACTTCGGATGGATGAACCTGCCGGTGTCCTAGATACTCGAGTAAATGAATGAATGAGTGAATGTAAAGGACAATCCACCGTTTGATCCCGGTTGCTTACTTACGACATGGGAAAAATCCTGTGGAGAGGAAGGAGAAGAAGGGGTGGGTGGGGTGGGCAGTGCAGCTCTATGATACTCAAAGTACGAGTAATTAGTGGTTGTACCGTACCGTACTTTACGGGGATGGATTATGCACGGTTGCGAATTCTAACCGTTGTGTTGTGTTATTGGAGGTTTTGGGCTCTGCGGGTGCTTGGGGGGGGGTTTTTTTTTTGCTTTGCTGCTCCAACTTAACCTGCCTTAGGCTACCCATGATTTTACGGTACAAGTAAGTACCTTACCTAGCGACAAGTACTGTACGAGTACAAGTACCAGTAGCTGCCTGCTTGCTGCCGAGCGCAAGGTTAAACTTTTACTTATCTTTTGTCTACGGTACTCGTACATAACCTGCAGTTTTGGTGCGGGTGGATTTATAACATTTATTTTGAAGACTGGGAAAGGAGGGGAGAGAGGGAGGTGGAGCCCCCCCCCCGCTTCCTTTTTTACTGTACGAGTGAGTACCTCCGACGGGGGTGGGCATGCATGTGAAGGAACCCGAGCCGGTAACGCAAGGGAATGAATGGGAAGGAGAAGAGGTGGGAGGGTACGAGTGCCGGAAGTGTCCCGGCAGGGAGAGAGAAAGAGAGATAGGCATAAAAGATTGGGCGTGCTGTATCATACGAGTACTCGTACTGTGTTGGTGGCCCGATTGACTAAGGCTACTTGGTTAGCATCCTAATGCTTGAAATTCGGGGAAGGATAGGGAAAAAAGAGGAGGTCGGGAGGAGGGGGGGAGAAGAAAGGAGTGGTATGATATGATACGATAGGAAGGAAAGGATAGCCTGACTTGCTGGCTGACTGGCTGGCTAGCAGGAATAGGTATGAGTACGCGCTGTTCGAGTGAGCGGCCGTGAGAAAAGATGCCTTGTATGTAACTGTGGCTTATGATTTGCGTTGTGGGGAGCATACGAGAAGCCAGTCCACTAGTAGTACGATATTGTCTGTGAGTGTCGTGTTGTGTGCCTGTATGTGTGTGTGCGGGGGTGGAAGAGAAGGAAAAAAACATTATTGGCAGGGTCGCGCGTGGGTAACTTTGTCATGACCTGTCCATTCCCAGCACTATTCGTCCTGAATGGACCGGTTAAAGCGGCGGGGGTGGTCTGAGCGCTCTGAGAAAGTCAAGGGTGGAAAGAAAAGGAAAAAAGGAAAAAGAAAGGAAAGGAAGAGAAAAAAAAGAAGTGTAGAATGGGTTTTGGAAGGGAGAGGGAAAAAAAAAGAAATGGATCCAGATTGACTGAGCGTACCAGCAGGCGGACAAGTTAGGTAGTTACAGAATCAGCGGATCACTATTCGCTCGATTCTCAAAGCCGTTTCGAATTTCATGAATCCGAGGCACCAAGGGGAAGAGCTGAGTGAACGCATGTACGTACAGTACAGCACGGTAGGTTCTAAAAAGAAATGGACTAACTTAGCTTCGTCATTACCTTCATCTGAACAGAACAGCTCATCAATTGACCCGATTGACCCTTTTTTTTTGTATCATACCCAACCTTGAACACTTCAAGTGAGGAAGCGGACGAACGAACGAACAGACCTTTTACCCCCCCCCCCCCTCCTACCTCTTCTCCTCCTCTCTCCACTCTAACCTACCCCGTTCGCCCTATAACCACCTCACCCCACTTCCTCCCGTTCTTCCACTCCCCCCTCTCGCGCACACGCCATTGACATTGCCAGCGAGTGATCTCCCATGTCTGCATTGCGGGGTACTCTACCCTTACATCACGGCACAGTGCTTCGCCAGGGTCCGGTAGCTATCGGGGGTACGTGCGTGACACACAAACCACCCGCTGACCATGGGCGGACTGATGTGGGAAACCCCAAATCCAATTTCTCACGATGAATTTTGATTTCATTTACACCCCCTGATTGTGGATCGTGTTACTTCCTTCCTTCCTTCCTTTCCTTTCTTACCGTAGGTTACCCCTTGCCGATCGATCGATTGTCGGCGTTCTTTTTGAAATACTCAATGTCCTGCCTGGCCCAGTCGGACGGGTGCCTCGTTGATTTGTTCATCTACATTGGAATTCATCGACTCGATGATGATGGGGGGGTGTTTCTTTTTGTACTATGATGCTAGGTGAGTTAATTGATTGATTTGCTTGATTGTATGTAGAGACAAAGAGGGAGAAGTAAAGGTAGTCCTGATGAACTGTGCGTACATGTTAGCATACTTTTTTTTATAGCCAGCTCCAATTTTTAACCTTTTTTTTTTAAATCCGTTTTGCGAATGAAAAAAAGTACTCATGCCGGTGAGACCGCCATCGCTGGCTGGATGGCTAGTTAAGTTCCCTAGTGCCTTTCCCTCCATCGAATTGATACCACGAGAGATAGATGGGGATTATGTACCCACTACACTCCTTGTTGGTCAATTTCAGCACTTAGCTCAACTGAACAGGTACCCAGAGATCTGGTAGTTTTGACTGAATCTAAATTGTATTTTTGCACTACCCCACCCCTACCTCCCGCGACTGGGTGCTTTATAGGTTGTATACCCCGTACGCTTGGAGCGTTCATTCGATACGATGTTGGGTTAGATTAGTCCTGATCGCTAGGCTCATCGTCATGGTGCGTCACTCGTAGATGAGTTCCGTGCCGGAGTGCTAGAGTACGGTACGATATCGGAAAGAACGGGCTGGTTTGTTTTTCTTTTCTCTTTCCTTGACGTTCTTGGAAACTTCGAGAAGTGTTTTTCTTTTATTGTCGTGGTTGCTCTTGGAATGGGTTTGGTTGTAAATTGGACTGGACTGGAGCTGAGCTGAGAAAAAAAAAAGGTTCGAGGATGGTTTCGTGGGTGATTTTTTTGTCCCTTGTCTTTTTCTTTTCGCTTTTTTGGTGGTAAGGAAGGGAGGGATATTTTGTTGAGTTTGAGACTTTCGATGAAACCAGAGTGCTGGCGGTTTCAGGATACCGTGGTTGTCTCTAGGAAAAGTAAAAATAAAGAATTGGGATCTGAATATATCGGAATCTAATCTGGAAATCCCCTCCCTCATACTCCTTCTCTTGCACTAGTGCTTGCAGAATCCGAGTATGCCACCCCTCAAGAGCACCGCTTCCCAATCCTTCGTTCTTCTATGAGTGTAGACACAATTGGTCAATGGAATGATACTTCGGAAACAAAAAGCCTAACGTGATTGGAATGGGCTTTTGACGAATCTCCAGCCACCGGTTGAGCCCTTGGCCAACCCAAGCCTCTCGATGAAGGGTAAATCACTACAATCACCTCCAAACTCCCCCAACTCTAACGCCATCATCATCATAGCTATCAAAGAGAAGAATAATCCCGACTCGCCTTGACCATATTTCCGGCTAACATTTCTTACTTGCCCCGCCAGCGCTCAGAAGCCACGCAAACCCAATTCGTCCATGGCACGTAGATAGAGATTAAAGGTAGCTCAGATCTGTGATGTGATAGATTTTTCGGAATCACACAGATAGAGGGGTTCTGTAGATAGATAGAGAGACAGACAGGGCGATAGCCAGATAAGCCAGCCAAAGATCTATCCCTCTCCATCCCGTGGGCAGATTGTCCTGTCTACGTGGAGACACGCTCGGTTTCATATCAAGCTGCTGTGTCCGTGCGGAGTAAAAGGCGGAGTCTGTGTGATTCTCGAGATAAGAGTGAGGGTGGTGCCCGCAGTTTTCTCTCTTTTTCCTCACTCTCGTGGAATTTGTGGCAGGGGTGGGGAGGAGGTGTGGTTTCACCATGGGTCTCGTCTGGCATTACCGGTATGCGAGGTGGAAGGCGTGATGGTGGTGGTGGCAATGGCAGTGGTATTGAGGGTAGCGATACTCCGAGATATCAGCAATCGATGGCCTTGGATGTTTGACGTTTAATGAGGGAAGGGAAGCGGTCATCAGGAGTCACTCGGTCACTCGGACATATCGGATAAGGAACTAAGTCATTCTGGACGACTTGGTGATATGATACGGTCCCGATGGGCCGCGATTTTGGAGGGGGTTTCTCTGTATGGGACGGATGGGGCCCGGGACCTGGTATAGCGTAAATTAGGGCGAATCGGCAATGGGTGGGGACAGGATGGAGCCCGGTTTGATGGTCCGAGGTCCTATCCGATGGACCCAAGGCAGACGGGAACTATGTTTGGTGTTGGAGACGTGGGAATGAGGGTCACAGAATCCCACCAGGGGAGACGGGAGAGGCCGAGCTAGCTCCACTCGGGATACCGGACGAAATATGAGTTAGGGACTCGTTGGTCCTGTCCTGTCGATTCTGGATTTTTTGACCCACGGCAGACGTTTGGGAGCTCTCGATGGATGGAGTGTTTGCTCTGTGGCAAGGGATAAAAAGAGAAGTGGTATTAACGATATTAGGTGTAGATATCAGACGCCATCCCATGAGCATTCCCCCGGCTATCCCAAACAGCATGCGGCTGGTGCTAAGCCGCCGAGGTCCTTCCCCGGACCTACAACATATCTCTCCTCCAAGCCTTCGAGTACAACTCCTCGATATCCTTGACCTCCACAACACCCTTAACAGACTCGTTGGCGATGGCCTCGACAGCCGCCTCCGCAACAACCTCCACCTTCAACGGCTTATACCCCGCAACACCTAGTAGCGGTAACTTTCCACCAAAGAGTGAGTTCACGGCCGAGGTGATGCCCATCAACCCTGCCAAGGGCATGGTGGCCGAACGGGTGGTGTCGTATAGGAATCCCGGACGGAGTAGTATTGGACGGAATGGCTTCTTGGACGTGGAAAGAGCAGTGATAGCTGCTTCAGCCTCTCTCTTTGTAGAGATATAGCGGCCAGGGAGGACTATGGATCCATCAGCTGCAGAGATATAGACGAAGGAAGTGAGAGTTTCGGGCGCTGTCGCAACGGATTCTTCTACAAGAGTTATGGCTGGCTGGGTATTAGCATGTGAGGGGCGCTACTAGGATTGGAATACTTGCCAGAATCGCGGTTAATCGTCTCATATGTCAGCTGCGGCTCCCCAGGACTGTTGCCCTCCTTCAGCGGATTCCTGGAGGTTCCCTTGACGGAGTTGAAAGCCCTACAAATACCAGTAATCGGATTCTCTTTTCCACTCAGGACTCCTTTATAGTCAGTCTCCAGCAAGATGCCCATGGAATGGACCACTGCCGTAGCATCCTTAAGGCACTCCTTATAGGTTGAAGGGAACAAGAGGTTTGCTTTGGCCCAGGTCACTTTCCCAGACCATTCCGGGGGCGTTGGAGATCCAAAAGCCGCGCTCCAATCGGGCTCGCCAGTGCGACTGAAACGAGGGGGGGAATCAGCCTAGGTCAGTGATGCTACCAAAAAGGCTCCCTGGAAGCTTTACCCACCTAACCGAGGTTACAGTCCAGCCCCGGGAAACGGCTGACTTGCAAATACGTGAGCCTAGGCAAAGAGTTAGCGAGGGCGTTAAAATGGTTAGAGACAAATATACCAAGAAAGCCACTTCCACCACAAACAACGAGACGAGGTGTTTTTGTTGCCATTGGAGTTTTGGAGATTTAAAGAGGTTTAAACTACTGTGGTCCGAACGATAGTTTAAAGAAGGAACAATGGTAGGGTGAGAGATGGTTGATGCTGGTGGTATGACGTCTGGCCGAGAGCGTAAGTAAGCGCAGGTTCAAGGGTTGGTTGGAGGCTCAAAATACAACCAGTCTGATTTTCCGATTGGTCCGGTTTCCGACTTCTGCTCCTTAGCTTTTTCGACATCGGTGGATTGGAGGAGAGTACGGCACACTCAGTTAATTGTTATTGAATATATGGCTTTGGATTGGTATTGTGGTTCAACATGAACGAAAATATTCTTGCTATCGTATCTAAAACTAGCTTTCTTCCCCCCTCTTCCTTTGAAAGAGAGATGAGACGAAAAACAGCACCACCAAAGAGCAACAAATCTAAATTCTAGTAATCCCTCTGCCTTTTGCATTACTATGCACCTTACCGTGAACGTGAAGCCTCTGGATGAAACGGCATTATTTGTTCAGCTGAGCGCGGAGAAGCTCCTCTCTTCTTGTGAGATCCTTCAAAACCTCCCCCAACCACCACTTGTGCATTCTCAGGTCCCCAGTCAGCTCCGGGTGGAAGCTAGTTCCAACAACATTTCCCTGCCGAACCGCAACAATACTACTGGCATTAGAGCAGTTTTCCTTTTCCCCCTCGGGGGCCGCATGCACTTTACCGACTTCCCCCCCAGAATTGAGTTCGTGTAGGGGTCCATCGGCAGTATTGAGTCCTTCAGTGGGTAGCAATCTCCTCTGGAGTTGACAAAGTATCTCCACATTCTCTTCATCGCTAAAGCTCTCCTCAATTGCGCCCTTAGGCTTCTTTGATGGCGCGCGGATTTCGACGTCTTCTGGCTCCTCTCCCTTCGGAAGGATTGATTCAACAATCGGGGCCCGGATGAATACACCTCGGAACGGCGCCTCGTCTTTTCCTAGAAAGTTAAGATTTAAAAGAGTATCGAAAGATTCCACTTGACGACCGAAGTGATTGCGGTTCACACGAACGGAGAGACCTCCGATAAGGGCTTGACCACCCTTCTTGGTACGGTTGGCGGCTTCGCTGAGAAGGATCATGCCGGCGCATGTACCCCAAGTAGGACGACGGTGAACTTTAACAAACTCTCTGAGGGGCTCGAGGATGTTACTGCGTTCAGCAATCAAGGCAATTGTAGTGCTCTCTCCGCCTGTTTTCCTGTTAGTCGCCAATTAGAAGGGCTGCCCCTAAGGAATGAAAGAATTTACCAGGAATAATTAGAGCCGAGCATTTCTCTAGATCAGCTGGAGTCTTGACTAAGATGAACTCAAGCTTCCCAGGAGTTTCTAGTTGTTCCGCAGCGTCCTTCAACAACTGCAAGTGTTCGGAAAAGGCCCCTTGGAGAGCTATTCACAGGGTGTTTGTCAGAACTGCTGCTTTCTCAGACTCTTTTTCTTCTCGCCAATAACCAATCAGATATATATCTTACCAAGAACTCCAACGGCGATGTTGCCATTTCTCGTCATTTTTTTATGCGTTGTCTGTAGATGAGATGTTTGTTTGAGTCACTCAAAATCAGTCGGCAGGCGATGTAAGTTTTGTCGGGATAATTTTCTTCCCGCAAGGTTTGCTGAGCCTGCTTTATCGATAAGGAGCTTGGCACGCTGAGGCCCCGTTTTACTCGGGGTGGTACAGCACAACTTTTGCTAGTTTAAGCGTGACAACATCGGGCCTGTCACCAAACACAGAGCTTCCAGTGAACGCTCTGATATGGCACTCAAGTAGGCGCAGATCAGAAGGTCCCACAAGAGTTACCTCTGTTTGGTTTTTATAGGCAGAGTTCAGGAAAATGTGTATCACAGACTGCAGTTTACCGCTGAATTGGTGGATAAGAATCGGAAACGCTGATTGAGTAATTCACAGCGAAGATAAAATCCCTAGCGTTTAGGGGCAATCCTGGATCGATTCTAAGTGCCGTATAAACACAACTGTGATCTGGGTAGTTGCTCTCGTCTATACAGCTATTGCTAGCGAAGCAGTATTGAAAATTTCCCTATTGGGGGGTTACGCACCCGAGTGAGAATTGGTGATATCGATTCCTCACCTCGCTCCTAACCCCAGAAACGAAGCAATGGCCCGCAGTACAGGAACCCTAGGGTTCCCCTTGACAGACCGCTATGAATTCTACCACCCGCACCGCCATTAACCATGCGCTTCCAACTTCAACTTCCTCCAACACTACACCTCCTCAAACATACACTTCCTCAAACCCCGAAATTCCAAACTTTCCTCAAACTTCAAAATTTTCCTCAAACCCGAACAATCTTTAAAACCAAAGATGACTCCCGCTCGGAAGCTGTTTATCGCCCTCACTCTCCTCTTCGTTCTCTTCACCCTCGCCAATGCTGTCCCAGCCGCGGCCCCGGACGTGGCGCAAAGCGCTGCAAACATGCTCGAGACCACCCCAATCGACATCGCCGACCTTCCAGCGAACTACAACGCAAAAGTAACCGCCAAAGACCCCAATGCGGAGACCTGGGTGGTCTGCGAGACCTCCATGGGCTCTCCCTGGCTCTCGGATGCCCAAGTCGCTATCGGCTACCTCCGCAACTTCCCCGATCGTGACTGCTGCCAAGGGAACGCTATCGGTTCCAAGTGCAGTCGCCTCGCGCATTACGGAACTGCAGACATTGGCATCTGCGGAGCTGCATTCGGATGCTTCAAGTGCGGGTATGTGGCCTTATTGGCGGACGTTCTTACCACCCAGTGCGCCAACTGGGATAGAGTTGGTGGGATTCACCATATACATGAGGGCGCTAGGGTTATTATCTATTAGGGTGTCGAGGGTTGGGGGATAAAGCATGTCTAAACAAAATCCATAAATCATAGAATAAACAAATACAGATTTGTTCTAAGTCTTACTGTTAGTCTTGTTTCTTGAGCTTGGCGGTTATAGAAATCGAGCGAGATCGGCCCACATATATCGCAACCCGGGATGAGCATTGCCTCTAATCCAGGGAGGCGAGCAACAAGAAGAGAAGGTGGGAAAGGGTAAATGAGTGCGTAGAAGTTTGTTGTACTGCAGCCCGTTTGTATACAGGTCAAGATGTCTGATTGAAGGAAAGCGGTACTACTATCCACCGTATGATACTATAAGGGAAACTGCTGCCTCAATTTCACTATTATGAAGGAATCTCTCTATTCCTCGGGCAAGGTTCCCTCCCATAACCAGCGACAGAAACAGGCTCAAGCCTTCACCTCGGCATCCCAATCCCAATCTCACTCTCCACATCTCACTATTAGTTCAACACAGTGAGAGAACGGAAAAGGTGAGCTGCCAACAAGACCCAGCTTTGGAAGCCCAATTAAGCTGTCCAGAGTCCCTACTGCCAATCTCAACCCGTCCGACAGCATATCATAGAGACTTTCTGTGGGTAAGTGATGTCGACCTCTACAACGCCCGTGCTCCCCAGGCACAACGCCTCCCGTATCTTGGAGACCACCGAAACGGGCAGAATATTCAAGTTGGTGAGAGCGAAAACGAGCACTTATATGTCTCCAATTTCCCGAGAAGAACTCCCCGGAAGTGATGACCTCATATAGGACGCAAGTCCAGTTGCAAGAACCACTATACGTTTGTCAATGGTCAAGCCAAGCCTGATAATCTAAAGATTGTGCTCGAGCTAGGATGCCTTGCGGCAGAAATCACAGGCTATCAAGAGGGCTGTATGATATCTTGCGTCTGTATGGCCGCTCTGAATACCCCCGGAGAAACCACACAGAGCCCGAGTTTAATATATGTCCTCGCTCGAGAACACTATCACCGAAAGAGCCCCACCAAACTTCGCACCCACATCGGTGTATGATACTCGAATATTCATTCTAATCTTTAAAATTACCAGCACCGTTACTACCATATTCGATTTCCCGCCGTTGCCCGCGGTTCAAGAATTATCTTGCCAGTGGGGGGGGGGGGGGACATTACTGTGTCTGCAAGCCCAAACCAAGGGGGGCATCTCAACTAGTTGATTATGGGGGGACAAGCGTCGCCATACAAACTCTACAAATCCTGATCTAACAGAAAGGAAGCGCTATAACAGACCACTGTACAATACTCCAAATACCGCCAATAAGGAACCCCCAGGAACAATACCTACAACTCCACCATGCTTTATTAACGTCTCCTCCATTGGGTTTTCGTTCCGTTGCTCACGCTAGACACTCTTACGTTTGTTCCAATCTCAGAACTTTTACAAAATAGAGTGAGGATTCATGATCACACCGTGTCCCCCCCTCCTATGTACGCTTCCTAAATGTCCTATTGTTCCCGCCCACACTGGTCCCAGTCAATAGTCAAGAGTGCCCTTCCATTCAAATACGGTATTATATTCCCGGGATATTAGCATTGTAGCAAGACCACTACCCTAGTCTAGTCCGACGAAATCAAGCATTACCTATAACCAGGAGATATCATAGATTCTTTCTTCTCTCCTTTCCACCTTTCAAACCGTTGCGATCCCAAGACGGACGGACCACAAACGGTAATAAGCCACCCATCCATTAATCCAGAAATATAGAAAGAAGAAAAAAAAAACCCCCTTCTTCCACAAGTTTTAATTAAGACCCAAACGACATCCTATCCTACCCTAATCGAAGAAGGAAAAGAAAAAGGACATAAAGAGAAATCAAGCAAAGTATCATACTTCTCTTTTTTTTTTAAAAAAAAAAAGCCACACTCTTGGAAATTTATCACCCTAGCACTCAGCATAGAAACTACCCTACCCTAATTGACTAGTACTATCCCGACAGCCGGAATCTCAGAGGAGCTTCGTAAGGTATCATATGATGCAAATCGCCCCGGAAAGCGGGTACGCTCCAAAGCTAGTACGATAACAACCAAACTTGCAGAGTATTCATAAACATGATAGCCGAATCCATTTCGTTGGGAAGTCAGTATCCACGAGCGAATGATCTAAGTTATATCGTGATCTACTCAGCTAGTACAGTACAAGTACCGTAAAAACTCAAATAATCGAACCGGGTGCTATGTCGTTGGAGTTGCCTCCTCCGGTAAAGTCTGTTGTTTTTCTGTTTCCTTACGCCTCTGAGGG